TGAGTACATTTCCTACTGAGCATTGTTGTCTCCTCCTTTGTTTTCCCCCAACACTATTGTTTGTGTTGCTATTTAGCAGATGGCTTAGAGTAATGATGCTTGATAGAAATATAACCAATGAATAATTTTAAATTTTCTACTTGCTCCATTTAAAACAAGTTGAACAGGGAAATTAATTTCAGTAACTTATTTAGCTCAATATACCAAAACTATTTGTATACTGCAGTTAATTATTAAACATTAGATATATTTTATTGCTTTTTAGTATTGAACCATTGAAATCAAATCTGTATTTTGCCATAATATAAATCTCAGTTCATGCCAAGTGATATTTTCAGAGCTTAATAGCCAGAAGTTGTGATTACAGTATTGAATAGTCAGACTGAAAGCATGAAGTGTAGTGCTTCTAAACACCTTTTTTTCTGTTGAACATTTTGAGCTAATATTATTTGTATAACAGTTCATTCCATAGTTACTTAGTATTGTTAGAATATTCAATGATTAGGCCATTCAGCGACTATTAGTATACTTTTCATTCCAAAGAAAGACCTTTTAGTATCATAAGCATTGTTTATAAAAAATAGTTGAAAAATTTGTTTTCTTTTTCCCCTGTATAAAACAGTATTGATTGTTCTTGAAAAGAGAAAAATTAATTCTATTGGTTGAAGTTTTTATTTATTTTTTATTTTTACTTATTTATTTTTAAGTTTTTTGTTTTCACGATGCTGGGATTTTGAAATCAGGGGTTCACATTTGCTAGGCAGATCCTCATTAATTAAGAAGTATGTATCAAAAACTGAGATATGTAACATTGTTTAATACAGCAACTCTATGACGTAGCTAGCTATATATTGCTTTTATTTTAGCTAGAAACAGTCAGAGACTTGGAAAGGCTGGATATTCCTCCCCCCGCCCTTCCTTACACAGGTCAGGAGTGATAGGTCAGGCAGGACCCAATCATCTGTAGCCAGCCAACTCCCAGGCTACTGGATAGAGGCAATATCAATGGCTCTATAGTTCTACACACTTCTTCAGAAATAATATAATGAAAATGGCAATTTCAGCATCATCATTAATGATAGTGGGGAAAAAGTATTTTTCTAGTGGAGAGAGGATTATAAGCTTTTTTTTTTTTAACCTCTGTGACTACAAAATTCCCTACATATCCCTGGGTGTCAGAACAAGTCTTGATTTTTAACAAATGGCTGGGGCCTAAGTGCCTGTCTTCTAGATTAAACTACCTGCGTACTCCCTACAATTGTAAATGGCTTAACCAGGCTTATGATGAAAAAGTCCAAAGTTCTCCAAATGATCATCTGGAAATGGGTTTGTGTTACAATAAAAGAAAAATGATGCCATAAGCTCAAAATATACAGGGCCAGAACCACAGTTTTTCTGTTCTCTGTTTCTTCATCATCTTTCAGTTTGTTGTAAATGCATGTAGTTTTCCCAACTGCTGTTCTTTTATTGGGGTTTGTCTTTAAATTCTTTTCAATTTAAAATTCTTTTTTTTAAATACTTTCTGAACACCCTCTCTAGCATTCCATCTATTTTATTTCTCCCTCTTTCATTTCTTTTTCTCCCCTTTGCTTAAGGAGAGTGGTAGGACCAAATGGATAATGTATATTTTACCTTTAATGTTTTGTTTCCCTTAGGGTGTCCTATTTTAAAGGCCTTATAAAACAGTGCCTTAATTTTCCTCTTTCCATGGTTGACCTCAGTTGCATTGTTTTTACTGTATTTCTCTTTTCATGGTCACCAGTAATTACATCTATTTTTGTTATCTTTCTCTTCTTTGATAAAAACAATTTTATTGTAAAATCATAATTATTGATAAAAACAATTTTATTACAAAATCATAATTATTTACACTGATAGGATTCTAGTAAGAAAGTGATTTTTTTTTTCCCTAGAGGTTTAAATATAACCCCTAGAAAATTGATGCTAGGGGCTGGGAAGGTGGCTCAGTGGTAGAGTGCTTGCCTTGCATGCATTAGGCCCTGGGTTTGATTCCTCAGCACCACATAGGCAAAAAGAAAAAAGCTGGAAGTGGCGCTGTGGCTCAAGTGGTAGAGCGTTAGCTTTGAGCTGAAGAGCTGAGGGACAGCACCCAGGCCCAGAGTTCAGGCCCCACGACTGGACACACAAAAAAAGAAAATTGATGCTAGGATGCTAGGTGCTGGTGGCTCATTCCTGTAACACTAGCTACTCAAGAGGCAGAGATCTGAGGATCCTGGTTCAAAGCCAGCTCAGGCTCCAGTTAACAAGATATATTATAGCTATGTTTATGTCTATAAATGTACATATGTATGTACGCGTATATGTGTATATGTTTATGCAACCTATTACGACTTTTCTTTTGAGACAGTGTCCCACTATGAAGCCCAGTCTAGTCAGGAACTTGAAATCCTCTGGCCTCAGTCTCCTAGGTGTCAGCCTTATTATCATATTCTTTAGTGTCCTCATAGACATATATGCTTCAGAATAGTCCTATATTATATATTCCTAGTTAGTATTGTTTTATTGTATAAGTGATCCTGAAGTCTCTTTTAAAAAAACAAATTAGGTTATGGCTGTTGAGTGGCAGTGGTGTTTGCTGTTCATCTGTAAGGAGTTGTTGCTCTTATGTCAGCTAACAGTTGCTTCCTTCAATCATTAAATTAAAATGCTTAGGAAATACTTCACCTATTAATAGTTGTAAAGCATAAGTCCCTACATGAATAAATAGGTCCCTGAGCTTTTATATTATGCTTCATATCTAATTGATTGAATTGTTAATAAATTATTATCTTTAAAAATTAGTAAGGTCTTGAGTTTTCTCAGTTGAAAGTAGATTGAGAAAGATTTATGGTGCCTAAGTAATGCGCATATAATAGCTTATGGAGCAACTGGATTCATCTAAAGGTCTTATCTGATTCTCAGTTGTGTGACACTCAGATGTTGACATTAGGGACAGTACATGGATTTTCAGCATTGAAACTTATGTACACACAGGTATTAGTCGTGAAGTAGCACCACTGGCTATGTGGGCCTCTGTGTGCTCATGCTTAATTCACTGAAATCAACCTGCTGCCTTGGACAAAGATCATATACCAGTATGGAAGAGTTAAACAGGGGCTATTCTCCTGCAAGGGAGGTCTTTTATGAACGAGTCCTATAAAATAGTTTTATGCTTGTTCAGGAAGATTTTATAAAGCTCTTGGCCACATGGAGTCCAGGAGCCACAGCAGACTTGTTCTTACTTGTATCTCTGGAGACATGGTTGATGCCTGATACATGGAGTGAAGGCTGGAAAAGAAATGATTACAGGGATAATCTGTGTGTGTGGTGGTGGTGGGGATATCTAATTTTTATTATTTCATACATGCCATCATCACATTAGGGAATAAATTTAGTAAAAATAAACCAACATTTCATATATCAGTGATGGTCACAATGAAAAATTACATTTTATAGAGCATCATACAGCAGGTTAAGTCCTTTCCTTAGCCTAAAAGTTGGCCTATTTCACTGTTACCTCGCTGTGGACAATAATGTTGCCTTGGTATTCTCAAGGTGGACATTGAGTCAATAGTTGTCTCAAGTATAGTATGGTAAGACTTGTTAGTGTGTTCTTCAGTCTTAATAATAATTACCATGATCTTTAATGATAACAATTCTTAATGAGTATTATTATTGTTAATAATGATTGCATTTAATAATTACACCCAATACTTATTATCTTTAATAATAATAATTAGCACATGGGAACCAGTTGCACCATTGTATTATCTTTAGAACAAAAACCTGAATCTGTGTCTGCTCCCACCCTCTTTCCTCAGATCAGAGTGAGTCAGGAGCTGTCTGGGGTCAGGCAACAGGGAGGGACCTCTGGAAAAGTCCTGTGTGTCAGGGCTTTACTCTGGTCTAGTCACTTTGTAGAAGGTTTGTCTTCATTGTCATTTCAAGGCATTGTTATGCCTTCTACATGACTGTCACACATGCCCTCCACATGCCCTTCTCCTTTTGCCCACCCATCCTTCATCACATTTGATTTTTTTTGTATCAAGAGAAGACTCAGAGCAGATTCTTATTCTGTAACATAATAATTTGTGGAAATTACATAGGACAGAGTCCATGTTTATTACTTATATGTTAGTAAAGCTTTTGATCTTATTCTGCTTTCGCTATGTTTAGATACAAATTCCTGTATGACTTAAAAAAATAAAAACATCTTAAAACTGTTTAGTGAATTAAACATTTTTTAGCTTTTCACACTTTGATACAAAGCAGAGAAATATTTCAGTGACAACAGATTTCAACAGATTTTCAACTAGACTAATTTGCTTTATTCTTTAGGGTAGTTTACTTCTTTACTCTGCAAACATAAGAAAAAAATAGTCATTTTTTTCCCAGTTGTAACTGGTGTTAATATATAAAATAATAATTCTAAAGAGAAGAAGTTTTATATTTGGATGACTATTTTATAAAAGTTAAATGTGAGTTAAAACTTTTCATGATCAAAATATTTTCAGCCAGGATTTTTTTTTTTAAAGCCTGTAAGAGGGATTTCTGTTGACTTTCTTATACATATCCATGTAACACCTAAGGCCTTGAACTAAAACACTGTCACCTTTTCCCCTGGTGTCTTTAAAGTAGAAACTGAAAATACAAGTAAATCTGGTTAGAAAATGCTAATACTGATGTACTAGCAAGTAGGTAATGAGCAAAGAAGAGCCACTGAAGATTCTGTGGTCTATAAGATCACCTGGAGTTCACTGAATGCTGAGGGTAGGACCTGGTGCTAGAATCTGAGGACTTCTGCCATAGCCACCAGTGCTTCTGTTGTGGTCTAACAGTGATAATGGCCATTAGGCTCATAGGACTAAGAGACCTAGTGATTCTAAACGGCTACTGATCTCAGATGAGCGACTTTTGCAACTATCTCTTCTCTTTTCGTCATGGTGACTCAGATTTGCTTTGTAATACTTATGTTTTGCTCTTGAATCCTCTCTCTTCAGGTTTGATGATTCCTGTCTTTTGTGTGGTGGAGCAGTTGGATGGCTCTCTTGAATATGACAACAGAGAAGAACATGCTGAGTTTGTCTTGGTGAGGAAAGATGTGCTTTTCAGCCAGCTGGTGGAGACGGCACTCCTGGCCCTGGGGTATTCCCACAGCTCTGCAGCTCAAGCCCAAGGTATTCAGACATCTCCAGTCTTCTCCAAGCCTCCTATGATCTAAAGAAGAGCGGGTTCTTAGAGATAGTTCCCTAAGCAAGGCTTGTAAGAGAATTGTCAGGTTTAGCATTTTTATCAAACAGTAAGTAGTAAGATGTGTTTTGCAGAACCTTATTTCTTCTTGTTGTGGGAAACATTTGACCAGTACCTGTATAGTCACCAAAATTGACTTGCATTTCAAAGGAATCCTGTTTTTGTTTTTGTGTTTGTTTGTTTTTTTTTTTAAATAATTTTGTTTCTTTTTTCTCAAGGGAGCAAATTCGTGGTCTCAGGGCCAGTGCTGAGATTTTTGACTCCCATCTTATGTAAACCTTCATATGTGATTTCTATGAATTTTGCTTTCTAAATTTATTTATTGCTTTGGTTCTCTGGCTTCTGCAGTTTATGATCAGTTTTTAATTAAACAGAGATAAATGGATGCATCTTAGTCTTTTGTATCTTTGAAAACTGTTCTTTCATTTTGATGTGGTCCATTCATGAAAAAAAATCACTATGTGTTTGTAATCACTTCCTTTTACCTATTTAATTAACTACTAAAATTGCATCATTATTTCAGTGTATAATACTGGGGAACTCATTGTGAGTTTCTCTTGTTTCGTTCTGAAGCATAGACCATTGTTCTTTTATGCCAAAGAATTGACAAAACAAATCACACAAACAGCCCCCAAACCTTGAATAAAGGTAATATTTTTACCCAGGAATTATTATTTTCATTTTCCAGTTGAAATGATTGAGTTGTATAGTTTTGATTATAGTTATAACTACAGGAAATATGTAACTTACATATATACATTTTATTTTATATATTTCCTACTTTACAGTATTTTCTTAGCATTATTGTAGATGCTAAGACTGTTTGCTAATTTTTGAGTTCTTCATATCATTCCTAAGGACTGTCAGTCAAAGCTTTGTTTATTCTGATAAAGAAGCTTTGAGAGATTAGGCATTTATACAGAATGACAAATACAGTAACCAATGACATTGGATTTAATAGTGTGTCACCCAGCACGTCATCCCCAGTCCAAGTGCAGTCTACATCCAAACTCTTGGCCAGTTTGGGTGCAGTGATACAGCTGAGCTATAGAGTCAGTGCTTTCAAAAGAGTGTGATAAAGGATGAATCATTCCCGTTCCTCAACAACTCTCTTCCATATGTGAGGGATTCAGGATTTGATCCCAAGCAAATTGCCTACTGAATACCATTGATTTTATTTCATGCTATGTGCATAAATGAAATAAAAGAGCCCCCTCTCCCTCCCTTCCCAGAAACTTTTCATGCCATTTTAGGGATGTTTTTCTTTGAATGTAAAGGTCATTGTAGCCACTGCTTGCATCCTGGTGTGCCAGCTTCCTGTTTGACAGGGCTATCCATCTCAGTTAGCAGGGCTGTTGAACACATCGTGAGCTCACATGTGGAACACGAAGCACTAAGTGGCCAAGATTTGATTCTTGGCACATGCTGAGGAAAGGAGCTCTCAGGAAATTTGCACCAGGGAGCCGCACCGTGCCTTCAGTGATGTGGACCGTGTTCCACTCCCGGAGGTGAGGTACTGGCAATAAATACCGTCCACAGTGGAGGATTACATGAGGAACAAGTCAAAAGTGATTATTTGCTTTCTCAAGAGTTTTGAAAAATAAGGTTAAAAATACTACATATACACTTTCTTTTTTTTTATTGTGAAAATACTGTACAGAGGGGTTACAATTACATGGGCAAGATAGTGAGTACATTTCTTATCAAGCATTGTAGCCTCCT